CTCTCTAACATTCATTTGGCATTCATTTGACAACAGCTCAAAGGAAATGTCTGCCTTTTCTGACTTTCCACCGCCAGCTGAGTTTCCCAACTACATGCACAACACTAAAATGGTACATCAGCACGTTAGAATTATTCGTTCATTTCTGAACCAGTCATTATTTTTTTATACTTTAGGTTGCATACTTTGACATGTACGCTGAAAAGTTCAACTTTAAAAAATACGTTCAGTTTAGAAATGAAGTAGTTTCCATTGAGCAAGCAGACAATTACGATCAAAGTGGTTGCTGGGTGGTTCGCACGCGCAACCTCGACACGTTAGCGGAAAGTTCGGTTCAGTTTGACGGCGTCATGATTTGTACGGGCCACCATGGAACGGTAAATCAGCCAAAACTCAAGGGCGAAGAAAAGTTTAAAGGACAAATCATGCACACGCATTCGCTGAAGCATTCAGACGGCTTTGAGGGCAAAAACGTCGTCGTCATTGGCATCGGCAACTCGGGAATGGATGCTGCAGTGGAGATATCTCAAGTTACCAAGCAGGTGAGCAGTGAAAATAAAGGTTTCATCAACAGGTGTTGACTTTACTTTAATTGACTTTACTTTCAGGTGTACCTTTCTACTCGAACGGGCACGTGGGTCAATAAAAGAGTGGGCTGGAATGGCCTTCCATTTGACCAGTTATTTCATCGTCGCATTGTCTGGTTTATTTTGAATCTCCTCCCCTACTCTCTAAGGTGCTCACTTCAAGAGAGAGAACTGAACAAGGCGTTTGACCATGAAGAGTACCAACTTAAACCTAAGCATCGTGTCATGGCCCAACACGTTTGTGTAAGTTATTACTTAAGTAAAATTGTAGTTTTTGTCGCATTTCGAAATTTTTATATTATTTTTCTTAGGTTAACGATGCACTGCCTAATCGCATACTGAGTGGCACTGTCATTGTGAAGGGTGACATCGATCATCTGACCGAGAAGGGAGTTGTCTTCAAAAATGAGCCGGATAAAGTGGTAGAAGTAGACTGCATAATCAAAGCCACCGGATATAAAATTACCTTTCCCTTTATCTCTGAAAAAATTGTTTCCGTGAAAGGCAATAAAGTGCGACTGTATAAGCACCAGTTTGTGCCTCAGCTAAAGCATCCAAGTTTGGCGTTTATCGGTTTAATTCAGGTACTGATGCGTTTTAGCTTCTATATACTTGACTATTAACAATATGTTATTCTCGATTGATTAGCCCATCGGTGCACTTCTGCCCATATCAGAGATGCAATCACGCTGGTACGCCCAGTTGATGGCTGGCAATCTTCGACTGCCTTCAGTGGAGCAAATGGAGAAGGACATCAAAGCAAAGGAGGATGAACTGGCCTGGAGGTACTACGCCTCTGAGCGACACACCGTTCAAGTGGACTGGGTGCCATTTATGAGCGAACTCGCACGAGAAGTGGGCGTGTATCCGCCCATCTGGAAGTACTTCTTCACTGATCCAAAGCTGTTTTGCGCGCTAGTTTTTGGTCCTGCTGCTGCGTATCAGTTCCGATTGACTGGTAAGAGATTCAACTGTAGGCTGTTGATGGAAACAAAGTTATGTTATTTTTTGTTGTTGTTAGGCCCCAATTCTTGGCCCGGTGCCAGAAACGCAGCCCTCACTGTGAAGGAACGAATTGTCGCACCGTTGCACACAAACTCTACCAAATTGCAAACAAAATNGCAAAGTTATGTTATTATTTTTGTTGTTAGGCCCCAACTCTTGGCCCGGTGCCAGAAACGCAGCCCTCACTGTGAAGGAACGAATTGTCGCACCGTTGCACACAAACTCTACCAAATTGCAAACAAAATCTTCAAGTTTTTTGCCAAAGCTGGTCATGTCTTTGGGCTTATTTTCTCTGCTCTACTTTGCTTTTATTTGTCCCAGCCCTGCACTATCAAACAACGTTGACAAAATAACTACCTACATTCAACTAAACTTGTTGCCAAAGATGCCTTTCTTTTAACTGTACCTAATTTTAAACAAGTTGTTTATACTATAAAAAGGTGAGAAGTGGTCGCTGAAGTTGCAGAAACAAATTAGCGGGACATCCCTTTCAAAAATTATCTCTAGGTCTGCCAAAAACGTTTCCTCCACGCCAACCGCTTTTTTATAATGATACCCAATCCAAAAATAAAAATAAAAACAAACAAAGTCATTGAGTACTTACAAAAACATCGGCCATTTGTGATGAAAGAACTTTGAGTTCCTGTTGATCAACAATGATAAGTGGCTGATGGTATCCCGCCATTAAATACTTATAGTTACTTAGCAGGTCAATTTGAATTTAGTATCATTAGAAAGATGCCATTTAGTTTGATTTACTGGTGAAAACTGCATCTTTATAACATAAGTAACTTTTTTAGAGACAAAAGAATGCGTAAGAAAAAATGTAGAAACTGTAGAGCTTTATGGGCTGTAAGGAATATAAACTTTTATTGTTTTGGCCAAAAAACGGGTAACAACATTGGCTCAGAACTGATAGAATTGCCTACCCACAGATCATCATCAGCACCCTTCATTCAGTTGTCTGGAAAAAGTCGGGCACTCCAGCAAAGTGCATCTGCGCAAAACGATTGCTGACGACCATCAACGCCTCGCCCACATATCGCCCATCATCGTCCACTCCGAAAGTGTGAAAGTGCTGCTCCAGCAGTTTGAAGCAGCTGCTGTAGGCGACCCGCACCGAGCAGGCCTCCTCCCGATCTGCCCCCGGAAAGGGCTCAAAGATGTTGACCATCTTTCCGGTGGCGGAGCTCCAGAAGCGCACCAGGCCGTCCTCGCCGGCGGCCACCACCAGATCAGCGCCAAAGGGGTCGATGGAGGGCGGCGTGGGAAGGGTAGTGGAGCGGTGTCCCTCAAAGAGAATTAAAGGTTGCACCACTTGACAGTCGCTGAAACTGACTCCCTCTTCGAGAGACCGAGTGTCGTAGAGGCCGAGAAAGCCCTGGTCGGCGGCGACCACCACCGCCGTCGGCCGTGTCGGGTGGAACTTGACCGAGCGGACGGGAACCAAGCCCGGCACCCGCCAGGTGCGCACGCTGTTCGGGCGGCAGCAGGTGGTGGCGCTGTCGGGCGGATCCTGCAAAGCAGAGCGCAGTTTCGCCTGCCGTGGCCACTCCGCCAGCTGAAGACGTCCGTCGGAGAAGCCGGAGAGGACGGCACTGGGCAGACTTTCCGAGTGCACTTCTTTAAAGCTCCGCCACTCGCAGTCGAGGAACTGCAGGTCGAAGGAGGTGAGGTGGGCGTCTGCAGGGGAAAAGGAAAAGGAAGAATTTTATTAAAAAGAACTTTATTATGTTCATTCAGTTACACACTTACCACCTCTCAGACCACATCCTCTGGAACTTCTGGCCCCCGCCGCCCCCTCTACCTCTCGGCGGCAGGCGCTGTAGGAGAGGCGACGAAGCAGTCCGCCAAAGGCCTCGTTGCCCTCCTCCTCGCCGACGAGCACCAGTCCCCAGGGAAAGGATGGTCGCAGCTCGCCTCGACGGTCAGCAACCAGAGATCCTCCCCCTAGCCTTCCTCCAGCTCTCCTCCTCCTTCCTCCGACTCGATTCGCCCAGGGCCAGGACTCCACGGGCAGATAGTCTCCTTCTTCTTCCTCCTCCTCCTCCTCCTCTCCTAGGCTTAGATTCAGGTCGTTGCTGTAGGCGCGGCCGTGCCAAGGGTCAGTGCTGCCGATGCCGACGATCGCCGCCGGGACAGTTCTCCGCCGGCGGTACTGCAGCTCCGGTTCCCCCTCAGACAGCAGGTTCAGGCAGTAGCGAACGGCAGTGTTGGAGCCATTGGGTCGGTGTCCTCTTCGGTTCTGCGCCGCCGGGTCAATGCTGAGCAGGTGAACGCTGGTAAAGCGGTGATTTACCGCACTGCGTGACACCGCCAAGCGCGCGGGAGCGTACATTCGCTCCTCCTCATCAAGCACACGCCCACCCACTCCGCCGCCGCCGCCATTCAAGAAGGACTCGAGCCCAAAAAGCTCCCGGTAGTTGTGTCCCATCTCCTCGACCATGGTCCGAGGGCCGATCAGCCCGGGCACTACGGCGGCCACCAGGTGCTGGTGCTGCAAGGCGGGTCCCATCTCTTCAAAGTCGGTGAAGTTTGCGCTTGCTATTGGCTGCTCCGGCCTGACCAGCGACAGCATCTCCGGAGCTCTGCCTAGTCGCCAGTAGCACTTTCGGTGGCGGTGGTGGTCTTGGAAGCGGTCGCCAGCGCCTCGCTGCACCACCGTCACCTCTACTCGCAGCGACTCGTAGTGGTACCAGTCGACGCGGCCATTGNCTGGAGGCGGTCGCCAGCGCCTCGCTGCACCACCGTCACCTCTACTCGCAGCGACTCGTAGTGGTACCAGTCGACGCGGCCATTGANTTGGAAGCGGTCGCCAGCGCCTCGCTGCACCACCGTCACCTCTACTCGCAGCGACTCGTAGTGGTACCAGTCGACGCGGCCATTGAAGAAACCGAGCGTCGGTCCGAAGAGGAAGGCGTCCCCGCACAGGGCGCCCCGGTAGTTGGGCGCCGCCCCCTGCAGCTGGGCGGCAATGGAGAAGTTTTCCCGGCAGTAGTGCGTCGACCCTGGCAGTGACCGGTAGAGAAGGCGTGGCCGGCCGCGACACTGGCTCTGCAGCTGCTGATCTCGAGGTGACCGGCGGCCGTAGAAGAGTCGCTGCTCAATTTGGGCCTCTGATAGTCGTGGTAGTTGTTGCTGATGCTGCTGAGAGGAGGGCTCGGGATGCAGTGGCAGTCGGGCGGCACAGAGCGCCGACAGTGGCTCCAGAAAGTGCCGGTCGCGGTGGGTGAGCTGTCCTAGCTCTCGGCGAAAAAGGGCGTCCAGGAAGGAGGTGGAGGCAGTGGATGGCTTAAGGTGATGAAGTCGTGGTGGTGGTGGTGGTGAATTAGTGGCAGTAAAAGGTGGTGAGGAATGGTGGTGGTGATTGCTTCTGTATTGATTGATCTTCACCTTCACCACCCTCTTCACCAGTGATGCCTTGAAGCGTTTTAGCGACTGCTTATTCTGTTCATGGGCTCGTTCTTCGGCAAGCCGTTTCAAGAAGTCAGCGGGGGCCTTGTCCAGGCTGTAGTATCGGCCAGTCTGCGGGTCAAAATGAAAGCCAGGAATTGGTGGTGGTGCTGTTGAAGATGATAAAGATGATGATGACATGTTTACTGATGTTCATAAGCTAAAAGTGCAACGAGAATCCTCAGTTCCTTTACTATTTCTTGCCCAACCAAAAGGGGAACAGAACTGAAGAACGTAAAACAAAACGACTGCTCCTCTCTTCAATCAAAACAAACTCATCACGTGCATCGCTTTGATGTCTCTCAGTACGTCCATCTGGTGACACCACTAATCACTTGTGGGCCGACGCCACTTGTGATTCCCCCGACTCACAGACTTTACAAGCTGCCTTCCTGAGCTCTAGTTTTTAATACATTATACAAAAAATAGTCTACAACTTTGGCTTGCTCAATAACAACGCAAGTTTTTTAAGTTTTTTAACATAACAAAAAAATATTGAATTTAACAAAAACCTTAATTATGTAGCCACAATTAACTGGAAAATAGCCTTTTATCATAATGAAACGCTTGACAATTATGCCGGAAACATAAAAACAAAAAGCACAAATGCAATCACTTTAAATACATTAGTTTTGTTAAATGCATTTAAACATTAAGTATTGCAAAACAAATAATAAAAATTTTTTTAAATTTACTTAATTTACATTTTTATAAAAAGTTGTCGTCGGAATCTTTTGTTTGCAAAAAATATATTAAAAAATTAACATATTTTTTCACACAATTTTGTGTTTTTCGTCATGGAAAACCAAAACAAGATTTGGAACCATCCTTTGCTGTGAATTCGCACCAGCACAGCAATCAGCAATCTGTATCATTTGTTTAGCAACAGTTCATCAAAGTTTTCCTCTAACATTCGTTTTACAGCCAAAACTCGCTTGTGGAAAGCCAAACTGCTGTATCATTTTTTATGTATGCAGTTAACATTACGAGCAATTCATTTTACACTCACTGTAGACATGAATAACGAATCCGATTTAATTGCCAACTTACACATCAATCCATTGGGAGTTATATTAGTTGGGCAGTTTCGTTTTCTAAACACCTTATTTGGTATTACTATTATTTTAGTTTCATTCTGGATAACTTATCTTGACTATCTTTTTACTTATAAAATGGGTGATCTTTTTCTTGACAGTGCTTACCAAATGATTGTCGCAAATGGACGGCATTTTCAAAAACTCAATTTCTGTAGATTTAATTGGCCAGATTGGAAAAATTCTTGGTGTCGATCGTGGCTTTATCCTGCTAAATACATTGGCAAACAAAT